ACATAGAGATTAGCTTTATTTTTTTTTTTATAGATTTTGTTTTTTAATGCACAACATAAATGCCAGATTGCTTTTACAGACAGTCACAGTGGTGAATGACCCTCGGAAGAACGGAAAACACTGTGGTCTCCCAAAAATGGCACCAGTGTTGTCATGGTAGATGCTGCAGTTTGGTTATTAGCGGCAGTACAGAGCAGGATGGAGCCATATACAGAGTATTCTACACATAGAACTGATTGCAGACCACCTACGTTTCATCAGATATTACTGGCTAATAAATACAGAGAAAAGCTGGAAGAGATTTGTGCTAGTTGTTTATACCTGGAAGGCCTACAAATACATAAATGTAAGCAGATCATCTGCCATTGACATTAGGAACACAGCACAGGAAGCTCTAGAATTGTAGACTGGTCAAGGACTTTACTGAAACGACTGCGCTTGGATTAGGTAGTAAAGCGAGTGTGCTAGCTAAAGCTGCTATTGTGTGTCTGCAGCTGCCAAGTCACCACTTTAGTAATAAAGAAAAAATTAAATATTATGTGTAAAGCCGAACTCCAGCCACAACTTTTTTTTTTTTCTTTCAGTAAATGCAGCTCATTTCACATCCCTGTGACAGCAGAAAAAGAAATAGGGAAGCGGTTGTCACCAGGACAGAAGACAAGGTAATAATAGATTGACAGTTCTAACTCTTCCCCGTCTACAGAAAAGTTTTTGCTGTTGAAGTCTGGGTCCCCATTGGATAGACTTCCCATCACTTCTTGTCTCGACAGGTGGTGATGGTAATCTTCCTGGGGAAGGGGGGGGGGGGTCACAGAATGCCTAACAAACCTGACCACCCTCCCTCCATTACTTTGCTCTAAAACTGGAAAAAAAAAAAAAAAAACTTCTGGCTAGAGCTGGGCATTAGGCACAACCACTGTCTACAGAGCACAAGAGGACAATTTGTCATTCAATCACTTCAATGGGAGCAGGTGACAACACTGAGAATACAGAATGGCTTACCCAAACAAAATCTGGCCTAATGGTTCCCAGATTTCCTGTTTTAGTTTTCCTTGGTCAGCTAAGACCAATATTAGATGTTACAGAGGGCAATGTGGTCCCAGTGCAAGATGTGGACAGGAGGTCCCCTCCACATGTGATAAAACTGGGCAGATGCAGCATGATACTGGAAATGGACTCCAACCTTCAGGCTAGGCTCACATCTGTGCGGGTGGTGCTGCTGCGGATCCGCATGAAAATCCGCACAGAGAATTGCGGACCTGCAGTCAGGTGCTATTATTTCTAATGGCACGCTGCCTGCACTGGAAAACGCAACCGAGGTTCCCGTGCGGGCTGCGTTTACCCAAGAAGTGCAGGGACTTCTTTCCCTGTGTGTCATGGGGCACGGGAGTCCATTCAAATGAATGGGCTCTCGTGCCCGCGCAAAACGTGGCCTGCACGGCCGCATAGATGTGAACCAAGGCTCACAGTTCCGTCACAGCTAATAATCTCCAATCATCACCACACCGAAGCAAAGGAGCCTTTACTGTGCATGAGGTCAGACCACAGAACAGATCAGAGTGCGCAGTGGTCCTCCTCTTTATTAGGCTGCTGAGGAAGAGGAGTGGGAAGGATTATTACATAAAAATAAAAAACAAAAACACACAAAGCTATTATAGGGATAACCATTTATGCTCCGTGACTTTTCCCAAGATGTAAAAAGCTCAGACAACAGTTGGCAGTAACAATTGTAAGGTGGTCTCAGTAAAGTCATGGCAGCATAAAAGGCAGGAAGACCTGTTTTATTAGAGGGGATGCAGCACTAACCTCCATCCGATACAAGTGGAACAAAGAAAAGGCCAAACAGCTAAAGAAACTGGAACATTCTAAGTGTTTACAGACATCCACTAGCAGAGTTGTGAATTCTGATCAGGTGCCATTCGAATGCAATACAGCAAAGCAACTCGGTGATGTCACTCCTCCCCAGTGAACATATACGTCACTATATGACTTGAGGACAAAAAAATGGCGGCTGGTGCTCTAGAAGGGCAATAGTTGTGCCTGAAATATCTTAGCAACAACAAAAAAACAACCCACAATAAATAAAATAACCCTGATACCAGACCAGGCTCAGTTTAGGCACGTTTCTTTAAATAACTAACTATGCATATTACTATAAAATGTATTTTCTTTTGGAATGAGGCTACCTGGAAGTCATACATATGTGCACTTTGTAAAGAACTAAAAAAACTCAAAAAATACAAAGAAATAAAACCCCAAATAACTGAATTCACAGATCACACAGTAATATTACAAAAATAAACCTCGTGCTCCATGCTAGTTATTGCCATAATGGTCTATGACAGGGACATCAAGTCCAGTCTGTGAGGACCAGGATCCGCAGATAGTTCTAGAGAACAGGCAGCAGTCATTTAGTACGTTACGGTTTATAATCACAAATTATTTAGAGGAAAATCCTCTACTGAATGCGGCCCTCAAAGACTGGATCTGGACACCCCTGACCTACAACTAACTAGGATTTATACATTTGTTACTTGGCTGCCTGACCATGAGAGCTGACAGTCCAAAGATTAGGACTTTCCTTGGACACCTACATTACTGAAAGAGCAAGTCCACGCAATATGGAGATTTCACTCAGGTGGATGCAGGTTGGTGGAATTATGGGCAGATTTTCTCACAGTTTTAGGATAAAGGAATTCCCTGTTACATGTGGAGGAAAACCCTACAATTGGATTGTCTTTTAGAAAGGTAAACCATCAGGCACAAGATGTTCAGAAGCCCGAGTCACATAACATTTTCTTGGTCTTGTGGTTTTTTTTGGGGGGGCATCCAAGGCATTGAAAAAAGTTAAAGAAGGATTCCCCAAAAACTATGGCAAGATCTACTCAAAGATCAATCTGGAGGGCAAGACAGCATGAAAGTTCTAAAGGGGTTGTCCACTCCAGACTGGAATTCAGAGGGGCCATTCCCCATGCTGAGAGGGGAGTCAAGGGGGAAGCAGTGACCTAATCCCCACGGTAAACTGTTACACCGAAACCTACTTGGGGCAAACTCCTACAACGAAGAGCGTGATTGGGTGAGCAAACTTAGAAAGGGAGTGGCCTATCAGACACAGAGGGCCAGCTAAACTATTGTACTTCTGACATATATGATGGGTCAAACAACATAGGGGGAGATATACTACACTGGAGCACTCTGATTGGCTACCATGCACAGCTGCACCAGATTCTAACCTCAGCTTGTTCAATTAAGCTTTGACAATAAAACCTGGAAGCTGATTGGCTACCATGCACAGCTGCACCAGATTTTGCACCGTACAGTTTTAGTAAATCTCCCTCATAGTGTGCCTATGCCGAAGAGGATTTGTGACCTGCGGTGGAAGCGGAAAAAGTACACATTGCAATTTGTTGCAGGAAAGTCACTGTTTCTGCACCTTGTAGACCATGATCTGCTCTACAATATTACACACATTCTAGCCGCAGATTTCTGCCTGGATGGACCTGATGTGCACATTGGCCTGACCTCCTCTGAGAAATGTTTTACAGACACTTCCGGCCAGTTCACACGACATGCGTTTCAGTTGCTTCTTTTCTGCATCCAAAACACACAGGAAGTAGGTTATGTGGTTGTCAATGTCATAGTTCACATCAGTGCGCTTCGATTGCAGGAAAAAAAAAAAAAAAAAAAAAAAGAACAGGCTGCATTTTTTATGCAAAGAACTGTACTGGAATCCAGTAAAACACATACAAAATGCACTGAAAACACACCAAAAACGTACATGTCCCTATTTAAATTGAAGAAAAAGAGGGGAAAAAAACGTGGAATGCATAAAAACGCACTGGAATGCGTCAAAAACACACCAGAACATGCCAAAAAACGCATGAAAAAAAGAACCAGAACACGCCAAAAACATGCATGCAAAAACGCATCCAGAACGTGTTTCTATAGTGTGAACTGTCCCTTACAGGGAGACTGAACCAGGAGAAGCTGACAACTACTTCCATCCTAGGTGAGCAGAGGAGCCAGACATTGAACTCCCTCTGATGAGAGTGGCAATCACTACAGAGGGAGCTGGCAGCTCTGCGCTGCTTTGTTGTCTGCAACCATCTCTTTCACCAGAAATCACTTCTGGATCACAGGGGGAGATAGACGAGAGCTGCGATGGCTCCTTGTATGTCCCTGTTAATGGGCCTAATAATGTTTGAGGCACTTTGAGAAGATGGATGGAGCAGTGCAGGGCTCTGCACGATAGTCCATCGGGCCATGTGTCTATGTACTAATCATTAGACGGACGATGGAATGCATTTTGTTTCTTTACAAATTACATTTTTGTATAGAACTAAAAATATATTTATATATTCTACGTTTTTTAACCAGGTAAATACACAATATTGTGTATTATATTCACCCATTTCCAGTCAAAATGTGAACACCTAGGTTTCCAAAGCTGTATTTCCCTTTACACACAGCTGAGTCTGGAGGGACACCCTTCCCTGTTCATTCAGGACTGTATGGAGTTCCATCTGTTCAGCTTCAAGTATTCCAGAGCACTGGACGTTTCCTCATTAACGTGGGGACTGTTGTAAAATCTACATAGAAGCCAATGATGGAGCTGCTGCTCATACAAAGTACAACTGTCATGCAGATTTGCCCTTCCAGCCTATATGTCTGACACCTTTCCATAGGGAAATCCTCTTTTTCATCAGGAAAAAAACAGGCATTAATGAGAGCCTGGGGGAAGAAGGAGCTTTGACAATGTGCAATTACGCAAATATCAGAAAAATATGATAATAAAATAGGAACTATATCAGTACTCTACAACTCAAATCTACAGTTGTGCTTGCGGTCTTGTAATAAATATAAAGGTAATAACCGTTCGGACTCCACTCCTCCGCTGGTGATCAGATAGACGCTGGACTCGGCCTGAGTCTCCTAAACCAAATGGGAGCAGTGCGTTCCCAACCTAGTACAAAGATTGGATAGTCTCTGCGGGGTACCTTCTACTGCTGCTTGGTCAGACGACGAAAGTGAGGCAATACCTGGGCCTCTGGAAGGTACAGCGCCAGCTCCATGGCCACCAGCACCGTCAGCTCAAATACCACCAAGTCCCGTCTGTTCGTTCGGAAACGCTCTTCAAGCTTCTGTAATGGAACGGGAGGAAATAAAGGAACATTTACAGCGCACAGTTGAAAGAAAATAACCAAAGAGTCACTAAAACAAACAACTCGTGTAAAGAAACCAATAAACAACACAATGTAAAACCAATACATGTCAGCAGATGGATCTTTCAGCAATGTCGCCGTATTTGTATCCCAGTGTCAAAGATTACATGTAAAGTTACTTGGCAAAACGGTCAGCCATGTACACGTTGGTTTAGGCCAGTGTTTCTCAACTCCAGTCCTCATGGACCCCCAACAGGTCATGTTTTCAGGATTTCCCTCAGATGAAACAGCTGTGGTAATTACTAAGGCAGTGAAACTGATCAAATCACCTGTGCAAAATAATGGAAATCCTGAAAACATGACCTGTTGGGGGTCCATGAGGACTGGAGTTGAGAAACACTGGTTTACACACATACATGGAGTACTATGACTGGGGAGAGATCAGGAGGTGAAGTCAGCAAAAGGAGCCTCTAATACTACAAATCCCGGTCTGTAATTGCTTGCTGTCCGCTCATCACGGAAAACATTCAGCCCGACTACCATGGACACCAGGCAGATAGAAAAGACGCCCAGCTCAACTTACCAACCAGCCTGCAACCAACCGAATTGTACTGTCCAACAGTGATCGTTAAAACTGAAACTGCAGAATATTGGGATGCCATGAAGAGGCTCGCCAGCGAACACATGTTGGCAAATGTGTGCAAACTAGACCCGTTTTTAATGTGAACTGTTAGACAGGACAATTCAGATGGTTGGTAAATTGAGCTGGGAATTTTTTTCTTTTTTTAACACAGTTAGGCACACATTTAACCCCTTGATTGCCCTAGATGGTAACCCCTTCCCAGCCAGTGTCATTAGTACAGTGACAATTAGTCAGTCTCCCCCAGCGTCAGTTAGTGTTAGATTGCCTTCCACACTATTGCAGTCCCATTATAAGTCGCTGATCACCGCCATTAGTAGTATATAGAAAAATAAATAAAACGTGTGTGTGTGATGTGTGTGTGTACACACACACATATACATACACACACACACACACACAATACATACACACACCACAGTTTGTAGGTGCTACAATTTTCATTCAACACAATCAATATACACTCATAGAGATTTAGCACAATACATTTTGGCCAGAATGTATGCAGAAATGTATATTTATTTATTTTTATTGGATAGGTTTTAAAGCAGAAAAGTATAAAATATTGTTGTCCCCTATGCTTTGGAGGTGGACTCAACCTTCGACCTCTGGAGCATGTGGGAGAAGACACGGCCAGGACCAGTCTAACAGTGTGGAGGATCCAGGAAGTAATTCTATGTCCTCTAGGCATCAGGTCTCCTCCCCTGCCAGGCAGGGCTGTGCTGTGTTAATGGATGGGCAGAAATACAAATACTTTGGTAGATAAAACCGATCCCATATTTGTATTTAGCAGTTTTCCTGGAGTTCAGCTTTAGATCATAAATGGACACAACTGTAAAAGAACGTACTCCATCATGAAGGAGAGATCAGAACTTACATCTAACAGATGTTTCAGCTCTGGCTTCTTGGAGTCACTGCTGATTTTGGCCGCCAGGAGGACGCAGGCCCCAGCACACAACTTGCGGTTCTGCTTGTTCACCTTTCCCTGTAGCACCAGCTTCTCGAAGTAGACATAAGCCATGGCCACCGTCACAGGCTCCATACTGCACTCCACTGCCAAATACCTCATTTCACGCTTTAAGCTGATGGGACAAGCACAAAAAACATTACAGCTGCAGAATAATGGACCTGGCTATGCAGCACAATCACATGTACCTAAAACCATCTTAAAGCTTTGCCGAACATGGAATACAAATGTGTGGTGGCAGGGATGGTGGAGCCACACACAACACATACACATCCATGGCAGCCGAGGTTCCTGTTCTGAGAGCGGTCTCGCTGCATGCTCCAAGCACAGCGGCCGAGCGCTCACACACAGCTCCCAGTCTCTAATCAGGACCTGGTGGGACTGGCTCCTGATCATGTGACAGCCAATCACAGTGATCACATGATAAAGATCTCTGCCCTGCCTCCTGGCATTAAGATACAGGTAAAGAGCCACCAGGAAGTGCCAAGAAGGGGTAAAAGGTAACTTGTCACAAGGCCAGACAGCCAAGATGAACCTATTCAACTTAAAGCGGTATTAAACACAAAACCAATCATGTAATATATTGCAGCTTCCCAATCATTCGACGTGGTGGCTGTATTGGTCTTCTTTTTTTTCCCTTTTACTTTCACCTGGTGATCTGGGCAGTACCACACCTCCTGTATTACAGGCTGCCAAACCAGATCGCAGGGAGCAACTTTGGATAGCAGGTCAGTCTAGGAAGAGGGGAGAGTTCGATGTACTAGCAGACTTAGATACACTAACAAATTGAAACCAAACTCCAGCTAATACTTTATAATCAATTACAGTAAATATTTTTTCTTTTTGGGATTTTTATGAATAAAAAAAAAAAGTTGATCATTGTAAGCACTCCTGCCACTGTTAAATGGTTTGTCTCATCCATGTAGACTGATACATTCTGCTTGAAAGCTTGCACTTTTGAAAAACAGACCACCAGATGAAAATTGAAGAAAGAAAATATAAAAAAAAAAGGAAACTAATGCAGCCATCGAATCTAAGATTTGGTAAGCTGCAATAAAATAAATGTTTGCCATTTGCTTTAAATGCTGGGGATGTCACTCTCTTGGTAGAAGTGTGTAGTCTGTAAGGGAGCAGCGCGTGCTTTCCTTTGTGATCTACCTAATACAAAAGGTTAAAGCAGAACTAAACTCCCCCAATCTAGAACCGGCGTGTCTAATCCTTGTCATCTAGAACCGGCGGTTCTAATCCTTGTCATTGAGAACCGGCGTGTCTAACCCTTGTCATCTAGAACCGGCATGTCTAAAACTTGCCATCGAGAACCGGCGGTTCTAATCCTTGTCATCGAGAACCGGTGGTTCTAATCCTTGTCATCGAGAACCGGCGTTTCTAATCCTTGCCATCTAGAACCGGCGTGTCTAATCCTTGCCATCTAGAAACCGGCGTGTCTAATCCTTGCCATCTAGAACCGGCGTGTCTAATCCTTGTCATCTAGAACCGGCGTGTCTAATCCTTGTCATCTAGAAGCGGCGTGTCTAATCCTTGTCATCTAGAAGCGGTGTGTCTAATCCTTGTCATCTAGAAGCGGCGTGTCTAACCCTTGTCATCTAGAAACGGTGTTTCTAATCCTTGTAATCTAGAACCGGCGTGTCTAATCCCGGTGCTGTTAGCAATAGTAAGCAGGTAGGAAGGTGTATTACATTTATTCGGTTTGTGGTGCTCAGGTGCAGTCTTGTTCTGCTATAAAAATGTGGTATCTTCCTCCAGCACAGCAATGGTCTCCTCACCTCCTGATCTTGCTCAGAGTAAGCTTCACATTGGGGAACTTCTCCTTGAACATCTCATTCATGTCTTTCTTCAAATCAGAAGGCTTCACGTATTCTATTACTGTTGTCTGGAAAAAGAAAAGACGTGTTTTATCTGTAGGTGACACCCAATGCACAGAGAGACTTCACGTTGTCATCATGAAATCTGTGGTCTAGGTCATCTACTGAGCTAAATACTAGAGCAATAATTACCATATAGGAAGCAAAGATGAGAACCCGCTTGTGTTTTCCGCAGGGCCACTGAGGGTCATCCAGAAGGTCTGGGTTATATTCAAAGCTTTCTGCTTCTGAACCTAAATGAACAAATATATGACATACTTAGCATGGCAGCCTATTCACATGTCCAACTAATCTCTGGGCTCGCCCATTGTCCTGCCATCAGATCACATTTACCAGCACAAAAGCTTTGTATTCACAACAGCAATCCAGCAAAGACAAATCTGCAAAGATTCTGCAGTTATTTTTGCCCTTTACATTAATTCTAAGCAAGAGACATTTTAGAGATGAACAGGAATCCATAGTATGTAGACATTTCATGTAATGGATTCTCATGTGTATCACACGCAAAAGGACTGAATTCAAGATGTAAAATTCCCTGTCTTGATGTAACTGGAACATCTAGTCAGGGTACTTAAACATTGTTGTTTGCTTTGTATAGAGCGTGGGTAGGCAACCGTTGGAGCATTGTGTGCCAAAAACGTTTTCCTGCACCTTCACCCCTCAGATCAGCCCATTCCTGCACCAATCACCCCTGCACCCCTAATTCCTGCACCTTCACCCATCAGATCACCCCTAACCTTCCCTGCACCTTCACCCCTCAGATCACCCCTAATTCCTGCACCTTCACCCCTCAGATCACCCCTAATTCCTGCACCTTCACCCCTCAGATCACCCCTAATTCCTGCACCTTCACCCCTCAGATCACCCCTAATTCCTGCACCTTCACACATCAGATCACCCCTAATTCCTGCACCTTCACACATCAGATCACCCCTAATTCCTGCACCTTCACACATCAGATCACCCCTAATTCCTGCACCTTCACACCCCTCAGATCACCCCTAATTCCTGCACCTTCACCCCTCAGATCACCCCAATTCCTGCACCTTCACCCCTCAGATCAGCCAATTCCTGCACCTTCACATCCCTAATTCCTGCATGATCACCCCCCAACCTTCACCCCTCAGCACCCCTAATTCCTCACACCCCTCAGATCACCCCTAATTCCTGCACCTTCACCCCTCAGAGCCCCAACCTTCACCCCTCAGATCACCCCTAATTCCCACCTAAGATCAGCCCAATTCCTCCAACCTTCACGCTAGTTAATTCCTGCACCATCACACCTCAATAGCCCAATCACACATCAGATGACCCCAATTTGCTTGGGGCACGTTCTGATCAGTTCCAATTCGCTAGTTAATTACTAGTCCAAAATGAGATGATTGCATCCGACTCCAGGATTGTACCTGCTTGTCTGATGACGGGGTGCAGTATAAAATGTCAGGGGGCAAATGAGTGGTTGGTCAGCAGGGCAAAGATAGTGTCAGCAGTTTGTAGGGCAGTGTACAGAGGTCAGCAGGCCAGAGGATGAGACGACAGAAGAGGTCAGCAAAACAGAGGACAGGGTCCAGCAGAGTGGACAACGGGTTAGCAGGGCAGAGGATAGGGGGTCAGCAGGATAGTGGACAGCAGTTAGTGGTGCAGGGGACAGGGGTTAGCAGGGCAGAAAATGGGGTCAGCAGGGCAAAAAACAAAAAGCAGGGCAGAGGATGTGATCAGTAGGGCACAGAAAAGGGGTAAGCAGGGAAAAGGATGGGGTCAATAGGGGATAGGGAAGGACTCCGTAAGGGCACTGGACAGGGGTCAACAGTGCAGAGGATGAGTCAGCACAGTGGAGGAAGCAGTCAGCAGGAAAAAAAAAAAAAAAAAAAAAAAAAAAAAACATAGTGTCAGCAGGGCAGATGATCAGAGGGGCATGGGACAGGGGTCAGCAGGGCATAGGATGAGGGTAAAGCAGGGCAGAGAATGGGGTCCGCAGAGCAGAGGACTGGGTCTGCAGTGCACAGGACGGGGTCCGCAGGGTAGACACGTGTCTACGTAGTTAGGCTAGTCGTGGGCCATAACATTAGATGGTCACATGGCTATGCTACATCAGAGGAAAAGGAAGGGCTGCAGTCTGGACAATCATTACCTAATTCGGTTCCTGAGGATACGGGTGTGAATCGGGTGTTGGAGAAGTTTCGTTTGGAAGCGTCATGGAATCCCGGCTTGCCCTGACTCTCATCTTTCTGACTAACAAGGGCATTTGTTGGGTACAAGTACTTTGCATATGACACAACCTGGAAAGACAAGAGACAAGCATAGGACACTGCTACAACCAGAGCAACAAATGTGGAAAATGAGGACATTCGTTACATTTTAGGATACAGCCGACACTTTACTTTCCAAACACATTAAGTCTCCTAATAGAGAGATTCGGCTCGGTTTACATTCAGCCTATGACTACAGAGGAAGAGTGACAACAAAGGATCTTCTTCCTATATCTGATTCTATGACTCTGTGCCAGGAGACAAACAACAGATCAAATGACGCAACCCCAACCCATTACACAAGGTTTCAGAATCCAGCTGTAAAGAATCAGTGCACATCTAATGGAGTGCCAGATAGTTTCTGTTCTCAGTCCAGGTCGGCAGACATGCAACTCTCTACTCTGCACCTGTTGCCAGCTTCTAGCAGTTTGTGATCTTCGGTGACTATAAGTGCACTGCAGCAGAATAAATCATTATTTGCAACTAATGGCGATAAGATATCCTTTATGAAGCCAAGCAAAATGTGTTTCTAGTAACAAACAGAACATCTCCAAAAAAAAAAAAAAAGATGTCATTTGTACGTTTTTCTTTTCTCTATGGTGCATGGACTACAAGACCTCTGAAGCAAGTCCAGTCATTGATTGCTCAGGTCTGTAAATATATGAGGTAGCCGCAGCATGGAGGATTTGAAAAGGGTCCTGGCAGACTAATCTGATGCTAAATAGCTTTTTGCTCGAATTTGGGGATTACAATAATTCCGAGTGAACATTTTCTTCATTCCACAAGGCAAACTAATCTCTTACCTCTCCTTCAGCCCCGAGCTCCACACCTTCCATCCCAAATGTGGGGTCTGTGTAAGACGAGGCTCCTCCGGATGGGTGCCGCTGCTTTGTCCCCTCCACTCGCAGCTCACTGTGTAACAAAAATCCAAGTCTCAGGTTAAGAGTCTCACACCACACAGGTGGGCAGCCCAATATGGTGCCCACTTCAGAGCGGCCTTTTACCACACATGAACTTGGAGGTGAAAAAAGATTTTCTCACCCTGACCAATAATGCAGAAAAATCTACACTGAGCCAGCCTTGTATAGATCAACCCATCACATCCATTCACAGAAACGCCAAACAGATTCTCTCCGTCTTTCATGTGATGCTAAAATACTTCTTATGTTCTAATGGACAATGACTCTGTTATACAGGACAATGCCGTCTCCCCACCACAAACGTCCCTTTCCTTCCTGCTCTTCCACAAATTATGCGCGCTGCATAATACACAATGACTGCGTCTTCATTATTGGTCACAATCCTCACCAAAATGTCAAGGTCGTAATCTGAATGTTAAGCAGCATTCTGCCTCGTGGATCCGGTTCATGCTCAGGACACAGCTAACCTGGCACAGAGGAATAACTAATAGACTGCAGTTCTTCGGAGGGTCTGTGATGGTGGTGGAGCTGTGTAAGTGACGGTCAGAAAACCACATCCCACTATGGAAGGGTTAAAGTGGTTGTAAACCTCAGACATGAAATATGAACAAAACACATCGCTCTATAGTGTGTGCTTGTCTCAATCCACAGTGCCAAATATTTCTGTCTGCTGCCTCCTTCCTCTGAATCACTTCTTAGTTTTCCCGACACCAAGAGAAAAATGGTGACGTGAGGGCACAGCCTGCAAACAAAAGCCTCAGCTCTGTTCCTGCGTGAAGGGGGGTGTGTCTCTTCCCTCCAATTAAGAGCTCTCCTCACTGATGTAACGTCAGCTCCCCGCCCCCTGCTTTTCAGAGCCCAGATCCTGTTTAAAAATCAGCACTTTGAATGGATGTAGGGGACAGACTGCTGTAGATAAACAGTTACAACTTATGTAGGAGGATCCGTTTCATCTCTGATCCCCTGAAGCCAGTTACTTTGCTGGGTATATGTAAGGCTTTACAACCACTATAATATAAGAAAGGTGCCAATTATATTTCACAGCATAGGGAGGCGATTGTTATCTTGATCAGTAACAAAATGGACGCGACGTTTTTTATTTTTAGTTCTAGGAAAACAAATCCATTCAGAGTGTAAAGTTACAGCCCATGTAAAAGACCAGCTCATTCTACCATGTCCTTTACTCCTCATATATGGAAAGGAATGATCTCCCCACTGACTACAGTAACCACTTCCTTCCAAAGCTCTGTGAAAATGAGAGCAGGAGGTTCTCCAACCCAAACAGTTCTCATTCGATGCGTTTCGTACATCTCTGCACACTGATGGATTCAACAGTGCTCTGTAAGATGTTCAAGGCTTGGGATATTTTTTTTAATAACCTAACCCTGCTTTAAATGTTCTCCACAACATTATCCCTGACCTGTCTGGTGTGTTCCTTGGCCTTCATGTTTGTTCACTAATGTTCTCGAACAAACCTCTGAGGGCTGCACAGAACGGCTGTATTTATACTGAGCTTACATGACACACAGGTGGACTATTTACTAATTAGGTGACTTCTGAAGGCAATTGGTTCCACTAGATTGTAGTTCGGGGCATCAGAGTAGGGGGGCTGAATACAAATGCACGCCACACTTTTCACAGATTTGTTAGTTTTGAAAACCATTTATAATTTTCCTTCCACTCCACAATTATGTGCCACTTTGTGTTGGTCTGTCATATAAAATCCCAATAAAAATACATTGACGTTTTTGATTGTAACATGACAAAATGTGGAAAATTTCAAGGGGTATGAATACTTTTTCAAGGCACTGTACATTCAATGCAAAGTGTCCCTTGTGCTGCTGGCTGGTCTTTTAGTTAAAAATTACCTCACAGCCATATTCTTACAGTGCTACAGAAGTTATTACAGGTACTCATCAATAAAAAGCACTCCCAGAATGGAGGATTGGCGGGTGAATGAAGGGTCCAGCCCCTCCATTCACTGATCAATTTTCATTGATGCAGGTCTGGGTGATGAAAATTAACCCCCACAGATCCTGGGGGACTGGAATGCAGAAGACTTCTTATTTTAACCACTTGCCGTCCGCCTGCTGTTTATAAACGGCAGGGTGGTGGCAGTCCAGGGGCGGGTTGCCGTTCATAAATGGCACCCGCCTTTTCTAGCTGTGCGTGCTCCCTGGGAGCGTGCAGCACCGCGATCCGGTGCCCGCTGTGTCCTCCGGTCACAGTGAAACACCGATCGTCGGACAGGACTTCGGTACGAGGTCCCGATCATGTGATCGCTGATTGGCCAATCAGTGATCACATGCAAAGTAGTAAGCAAGATGTCACTTGTGACATCATTGCTTACTATGTGTGAAATCTGTGAATGATCACAGAGGTCACATGGTACAGGGCTATTCACAACAGGCTTGTACCATGTGACAAGCTGTGACCAATCACAGCTCACTCAGTATTTCTCAATGAGTGCAAGAATGCAGCCAGAAAGAAGGAGAAATGATTGCTTTTACATCCTATATGGGTGTAAAAGCAATCAGTGTAAAAAAAAAAAAAATCATCACCCCCCACAAGTAGTACAGTGTCACCATGGTGACACTGTACTGCTAGGGTGACAGTATGTAAAAAAAAAAAATAATAATAAAAAAAAAATAAAAAAAAATGTAAAAATAAAATTTAAAAATTATAATTTTTGGTTATAAACTAATTTGGATTTTTTTTTTTTTACTAAAAAAATAACGGAATAAATTTTGGCCAAGATTTATGATGAAATATTATTTATTTGCAAAATTTTTTTTAAAAAAACACTTTTTTTCAAAATTTTTGGACTTTTTCATTTACATAGCAAAAAAAATAAAAATCCCAGCAGTGAATAAATACCACCAAAATAAAGCTTTATCTGTCTCAAAAAATGGTAAAAAATTCATATGGGTACAGTGTTGCATGACCGCGCAATTGTCATTCAAAGTGTTATAGCTCTGAAAGCTGAAAATTGGCCTGGACAGGAAGGGGGTGAAAGTGTCCGGACAGGAAGTGGTTAATAATGGCTCAATTACCAGGATGTAGAAGTATTGTCCCTTCTGTGAATTTTGAATTCTTATTCAAAACTAAATGTAGGCTTTAATGTTCAGGTCCTATTTAAAGCCCCATTTAATGTGTATGGCCAAAGCCTATGTTATAGGGTTATATGGCACGGGTCAATACAAACTCCTGTTACTGAACGTTTCACTACCATCACTTTCCACAGATAAGAAGACCCAGAACTGGAAGAAGACTCACCTAATCCGCAGGCTCTCTCCATATGGAAGGACAGAGAAGGCTGCACACAACGATCGCTTTGCACAGATCAAAACTATCCTGAGGAAAAAAAAACAAAGAAATAATCTTAGTCTCTGGATAATGTCTGTTTAATACACAACCACCACACACACCATGGGAGAAGAGAAGAAAGGCAACGTATACTGGCTGCAGTACACACATTCCTGATAGTGCCGGATACAAGATATAAACACCTCAATGGTTACTGTGCTCTTCAACTGTCTGGGATCCATCTAACGGTCTTCACTGGAAACCAACAAGGATTGGGGAAAAAAACAAAACATTTAACAATGGCATTTTGTCTGTCTCCTACACTGAGGGTCTTTAACCTTCCGCTGCCTGATAAGCTGTTTGCTCCTCACTTATTTGGTCTTGTATACATTTGGTTAAAATGGTAGTAAATGTTACTTTTTTTTTTCTCTAAATGTGCCCCCTGCAGCATTATGCCACGTGCTAATTTGCACCAAATAATCGCATACTATGATACTTACCTTTAAAACAGAGCCCCCCCCCCAGCACTGTGCTGTCACCTCTGCCAGCGCCTCCTTCATCTAAGCACAGGGATCTCGTTTGTTGTATTGTTGGGTCAGTAGCCAGACCTGAACCTTGTAGCTCTCCCCATTGTGTCTTTTCCCCTATGTTAGCATTGTGTCCACAGTAGCATTTGCGTAGGCAGAGCAGAGTAGGACTGGCCATAGAGGGATGACTTTGACGCAGTTGGCCAGCTTGGGCATGTATTGCAATATGTGTGAACTAAATATCCCTATTTATTGCATAGTCTGCTTGAAAGGGTATATACCAGTGTGCAGAGGGTCCTCAATTTCCTTCATCTGTCTGTCTTTCTTCCAGGTCATTTGATAGGCCAGGCCATAATGTCAACCCTATGCATGCACTGCACTCTGTGTATTCAGGGCACTCTCCGTGTTCCTTCAATGCAGAGCAGTGCATGCACAATGACGTCATCTTCTAGAGCCAATGTAAATCTACCTACAGGTAAGGCTTACTATAATGTTTATCTGTAGGTAAAAATTAAAAAAAAAAAAAAATTTGCTACCACTTTAATGAATTTGTACAGAAATTGTCTATTCCCACTATGGATCCAGCAGATTTCACCTTAACAAGGCCCTTGCTATTTCAGCAGAGGACACGCCTGACTTCAAAGACCCAACCAATAAGCTGCTAGAAGCCCTTTCTAGGTTTGTTCTCTTTGGTGAGTCCTGTTCTTCATCCAGTTCTGGTTGTGACCTTACATTGTCAATCCAGGTCTTACTAGTCACAATCCCTTAAAAGAGATGTTACCGCTGGTGCAGATCATCCCTCAGATCAGACGATCTGTAGCATTACACTTCAGCTGTGATGGCTTGCTGAAAGCCTCCCGTCTCATTTCAGTCATGTCAGTGCTTAGGCTTTGGGAACTCTGGCTGAAGTGCCTGACTGCAGAACCTTTGTGTGAAAAGCATTTGAACTGCATTGCCTTCAAGGGACAGCGTCTCTTTGGATCAGCTCTTGACAACATTACCAAGTTACTGGTGTCAATTTCACCATCTTCCATAGTGGAAGGAGCCCAAGGAACAGACTACAAGGTCTGTTAACTCTTTGACGCCCCTTTTGTTTCTCCACTCCCTCGACCTTCACTTCAGGACCCCCAAGCTTGTTAACCATTGAAGACACTTAGACAGTGTTTATCTCAGACACTTCAGTGCAGGAGATGGTATCCCAGGGCTAGAAGCTGGGAGTTTTGCTCACTGCCCCCTCCTGGTTTTTTCACTGCCAATCTACCGGTGTCATGACACAGATTAGCAGATCCCCACTGAGGCACCTGGAGTCTTCTTGGTCAAAGTGTCATTGCCCCAGTTCCTGTGGCAGAACGGTTTCAGGTTTCCAATCTGTTCACTGTTCCTAAGCCCAAATGGAGTATTCACCATTCTCAATCTCAATAGCTCTTAATGTATATATTCAGGTGCAAAAATTCTGCATACCAAATCTGTCATTGCCTCTCTTTATCAGGGAGATTTCCTGGCTTCTGTGGACATCTACAATGCTAACCTACATATCTTCATGATTCCAGTGTTTCAGAGATACCTACACTTTGTTTTGGGGCCCTGCCCTTCAATCTCTCGATTACGCCTCAGGTATTCACCAACGTGCTAGCCCCAAAATATAATCCTACTGCACCGTTGCTGCATCCACATGGCCTACTTCAATGACCTCCTGCTGAGGGAACAGCCGGCTCAAGCTCCATCAGACAATGCAAAAAATAGTCTAGATGTTACAGCCATTTGGATGGATCTTGAAACTTGACAAATTGTTGCTAGAACCAACTCATCATTTGTAGTAACTGGGTCTAGTCCTGGACACAGCTCAGGCTACAGTTTTCATTCCACAAAAGAGATTTCAGACACTCCAACTCAGTTTTGAACCCCCCAATCCAGGAGCTCTGCTTTTACATGAGAGTCCTAGGTCTGATGGCAGCCTCTCGAGACCATTCCGCTTGCCCAGTTTCACTCCAGAACAAAAACAAACATTCTGTTGTCAGGGTTCAAGTCACTTTGGGTTTGGACAGAAAAACCCTGTCCAATACAAAAAACAGGCAGCTCAGTAATTCTCATATTTTGAAAGATCTTCACAATGGATGCCAGGCTGGGGAAGAGACCTGGGCACCCTGTCCAAACGGGATTTTGTCTTTAGAAGACATCTTGCTGAGGAAAGTAGATCAGATCATTTCCTAGGCAGGGCTTCACATTCCAGCCTTGTCTTGCCTAATCTTCTTGAAGTAGAGGACCAATGATGTACTATGCACTACACACCTGTTATTCCTGTAGTAGAACACTGATGTACCATCAGGGGCGGACTGACAACACATGGGGCCCCTGGGCAATTGGGGATCATGTGGCCCCTGTGTCCTTGCCCACACTCAAGCCACACCCAAAAAAGCCTATGAAAAGGTACCAGGGGCATCTCATGGGGCCCCTACTGACGCCGCGCAGTGCCCGAGTGCCCAAATGGTCAGTCCGCCCGTGTACCATGTATTACATTGCCATCCCTTAGATTGTAAGCTCCTAGGATCAGGGCCCTCCTATCCCTCTTGTATTGAACTGTATTGTTGCTGTATTGTCTCCCATTATATTGTAAAGTGCTGAGCAAACTGTTGGCGCTATATAAATCCTGTATAATAATAATAATAATAATAATATATATAAATCCTGTATTATAATAATATATAAATCCTGTATTATAATAATATATAAATCCTGTATTATAATATATAAATCCTGTATAATAATAATAATATATATAAATCCTGTATAATAATAATATATAAATTCTGTCTAATAATAATAATATATAAATCCTGTAATATAATAATAATATATAAATCCTGTATAATAATAATATATATAAATCCTGTATAATAATATATAAATCCTGAATAATAATAATAATAATAATAATAATAATAATAATAATATATAAATCCTGTATAATAATAATATATAAATCCTGCATAATAATAATAAATAAATCCTGTATAATAATAATAATATAATAATAATAATATATAAATCCTGTATAATAATAGTATATAAATCCTGTATAATAATAATATATAAATCCTGTATAATAATAATATATAAATCCTGTATAATAATAATATATAAATCCTGTATAATAATAGTATATAAATCCTGTATAATAATAATAAATAAATCCTGTATAATAATAATAATAATATATAAATCCTGTATAAAAATAATAAATAAATCCTGTATAATAATAATAATAATATATAAATCCTGTATAATAATAAATAAATCCTGTATAATAATAATAATAATAATAATAATAATAATATATAAATCCTGTATATAATAATAATAATAATAATAATAATAAATAAATCCTGTATAATAATAATAAATAAATCCTGTATAATAATAATAATAATATATAAATCCTGTATAATAATAATAATATATAAATCCTGTATAATAATAGTATATAAATCCTGTATAATAATAATATATAAATCCTGTATAATAATAATAAATAAATCCTGTATAATAAATCACGGAGGACAGGGTCCAGATGCAAGATTCATACCTGCTGCCCCGGGTGTCATACTGCCTCATGCTTTTAATGAAGTGGGTTTTCCTCAAGTTTCTTGGAGATTCTGGAACATGTTTGGACCTGTAAAGAAAAAAGAAAAATAAACAAGGACACCTTAAAAAAAAAAAAAAAAAGGAAAAACAAAGTGTCCAGGGAAGCTGGGAGAATGAGCAGCAGTGAGAGGATCAAGTGAAGGAGAAGGTGGAATGTCCTTCTGGGACTTCAAACGCATAATAGACGATTAACACTGTTCCATTGCAGCCATAGGATTGAATCTGACAGATACATTTCACAGAATCATTTAAAGAGTCAGACAGCCCAAATCAGCTACTTTGTTGACGAATTTAACTTTTGACAAATCCCTGCCAGGCCCCACCCACTTTTTAGGTATCCTATGGGCTCCATAATGCGGTGGGTGGGGCAGACATGAGATCGCCTTGCTGACAAATACAATAAGCCATTGGGTGATTCAACTCACCGAAACTTACCCATAACTGAATTACAGATGTTTTGTGGACTGACTCTTTAAAATGCAAGTTCACCTTTATAACTATCTCCCCTTTTTATTGTTTCTGATTCGTGTCTGACCCCAACATTTGCAGACATTGCTGGTTGCCATGAGTGATCTTTACATACGGCCCAAATAATACAAAGAAAACAGGCCACTGGATCCACGGATTGTAAATGCAGGAAATTAAAGTACAACTAAAGGCAAAACGTTTGTTTAGTTTTGGATAGAGTGGAGAGGGATTAGAACACCCCAGAGGTTTTTACTGCTGTCTGTGCCCTCAGTAGGGAGATTCACCCTCTCAACCTGTCATGTATGAGAGTGAAACAAAATCCCCACAGTTTGGGCTGTCATCAGAACAGAAATAAAGGGGAAACCTTGCAATGGGGACACTAGTGCTAGTGACAACCTGGGATTCCATCAATGTTCTTGGCTATGGGACAGGAAGTGAAGGCAGGGGCGTCCCTTGGGTTGGTGTCACCCAGTGTGTTAACACTGGGTGTCACCCCCTCCGACGATTCTGGCAGGATGGAACAGATCTGCAGATTGAACATAATGGATTGGACTCCGATCCATTCTGCTCCCCAATCCACAGATCAGATCCATCCTGTGGGAATCGTCAGCTTGCTTTACAACTTACCTTTTCGTGGAGCGGGTCCATTGTCACCCCGTGCGGTGTCACCTGGTGCGGCGCGCAACCCCCGCACCTGCCTCGGGACACCAGTGAGTGAAGGAACATCTCCCAAATGGGAAATGTATACTAAAAAAAAAAAAAAACACACAGAAAGGGGTCATAATCCTCCTCTTACTCTATCCAAAATGAAAAGAAATATATGTTTTGTCTTTAGTTCTACATTAAAAGCAGAACTGCAGGAGAGAGATTGGAAATAAGTAGCCAATTAAAAGTGAAATATTTTCGGCAATGTGGTGTTCCAGTTTCGGCTTGTTCTTCAATCACGTCTCTGTGGGCATTCTACGTCCCTTGCAACTCTTGAGCTATAAAGTTGAACTTACATTTGCAATAAAGATTAATAAAGAATATAGTAGTTTTACTCCAAGCAAAAGCCATAGAAAGTGAACATTGTTTATAAAGAAAGGCAGCATAAGATGCGACTAGAAGGAAAATGTTAGTATGCCTGGAGAATATAGATAAAGCTGGTGTGGTTAGTAGAGGGCATTCCTGTGTCCGGAGTAATACCTTGGCACTGGTGTAAATTCTGTTATATCATCTAGAATCTCTAGGGAGCAGCGCTGAGACAGATGACGTATCCTGCAAGAGGGAGAATCATTGGGGTGACACTGCGGATCAACCAACAACATTCTACAACATTTCTCAGTGTGTCTGCGCCTGCCTGAGCTTGTCTACAGTTCACACTCTATTTATTCCAAAGGGATCAGAGAGGGTTCAAGTAAATTGTATCAAAAATGTCTGTTTTTGTAAATAAAATCCATTTTCTTCCTATTTTATTGCATATTAGTGCCGTTGGTCTCCAGCAGCCTTTTCACAGCCACTTCCTATCTACATGTTCTCCAATGAAGTCTGTGTGGCAAATCTAAGGCGGATTTCCTGATGGTGACAATAATGGACCATGAATATGCAATGTGTGAAAGCGTCACTTGTAGTTTTTACCTCAAATCCATGTGATGGGGTGACAACACAGGAAAACAAATGGGAGACGGGGAAAGAGTGCCGTCGCTTCATCACGCGGGGGGGGACAGAGCGCCGTCGCTCCGTCGTGCGGGGGGGGGGGACAGAGCGCTGTCGCGCGGGGGGGGGGGGGACAGAGCGCTGTCGCTCCGTCGCAGAAGTGCCTGTACAAGGACATTTAAGGCAGGATCACCAGAGATTATTTTATAGAAAAAAAAAGAGATTTGAAAACAGCAAAAATTACTTCTGAAATGACATCAACATGTTACAACTTGTAAAAGATTTTTTTTGATTGGAGTTTACATCTAAAATCTATATTTTTAAAGAGCCACTCCAGAGCATCCATTTCTAGGGATCATACATGGAGCTGGAAATACCTAGCATTCACGTGGCTCAGCAATTTGTGTTCTCAGAACAAAAATCTGGCATCCTTGGCTGGATGTGGCGGACTCTTTGTGGGGGGGGATACTCTCTTATCACAACCACTGTCTCAGGGTTCTGAGTGGTGGAATTAAAGTGTTAGTGATCTCTTCTGGTGCATATGGGGAGTTGATGGTGTGGATGTTTGTATCTGGTGAGTGTGTTTGACTGTTTTTGATTGTTGATCTGTTATGTTGTTTTTTTGTTTTGCAACTCTTCCTGTTCTCTGTAAAGGGCTCATGGCCTGGTAATAATTTGTTAATTGTTTCTGATCCCTTTCTGTGTATCCTTGCTCTTAGGTTTTAGTTTTGGGTTCCTGTTATCATTTGTCTCTTTTTTCTGTTATTCTTTGTGTTTTATAAATGCAAAATAAACACCTTTAAAAACAAAATTGTGTGTTCCCAGAACAAAACCTTAAAGAGTGGTGGTCAACTACAAGATATTGTAAAGGGATTTTTCTTTCAAACATGTTTGCACAGAGCAGCCCCAATCCTCTCCTTCTGGGGTCTCCTGCCAGCACTTCAGGCTCCTCCCCACTTCTGAGAGTCCCCACACCGCTTGCTATGGAGGCACTCATGCAGGCTTGATCTCAAGCCATGCTGTGTGTGTCTACTGACACACAAGGCTCAGCCATGCCCTCTGCTCTTACCTCACAAGCTGTGATGGACAGTGGCATGAGCCAATGGCTCCCACTGGGCCAGTGAGGGGGGGGAGAGAGAGTGCAGAGTGCCGCTGCTCTCATGAGATCAGGCTCAGAGGAGTATAAGAGGGGGATGGGGGGGGGGTAGCTGAAAACAGAAGGTTTTTACCTTAATGCAGAGAATGTATTAAGGTAAAATAAAACAAAAACTTCTACTTTTTTAACCACTTCAGGAGGTATTAGGGCCTCAGCTGCAGCCCCTTTCATTGCCAATGGGCCTCACATCATGTTCACTCTATGTAATACTACAGTAGCGTGTCAGGAAGAGGCAGTCAGGAAGACCTTATAATTAGTCACGTTAACTCTGCCCTATAGTGGAAGTACTGCTACAGGGCAGCAGGGTCGGGGGGGGGGGGGGGCATGTAAACAACACAGGTCTCTCTCCTGTCAGAATAAACATGCTGTTTCGTATCGCTCTGCACAGCATGCCTCCCTAGTAAAACACAGCACACAGTTAACCCTTTGATGGGCCCAGATGTTAACCCCTTCCTGCCCAGTGCCATTAGTACAGTGTCAGTGCTTTTTATTAGCACTGATCATTGTATTAGTTTTACTGGGGATTACAGTGGCAGTTATTCAGTTCCCATCTAGTGTCAGAATGCCCTCCGCAGTCCCGCCATCACTAGTATATAAAAAGCCCAGTATATATCCCGCCATTTGTAGATGCTATATAACTTTCACGTAAACCAAATTATTTACACATATTGGGATTTTTTTTTTTTTTTTTAGCAAAGACACAGAGCAGAATACAGTAGGGCCTAAATTTATGATTAAATTTGATATGTTTTATAGCAAACAGTCAAAATATTGTTTTTTTTAAAAAAAAAAAAAATAGGTTCTTTTGTTTATACTGTAAAAAAAAAATTTAAAACCACAGAGGTGATCAAATACCACCGAAAGAAAGCTCTATTTGTGGGAAAAAAAGGACATACATTTCATTTGAGTGTGGCGTTGCATGACTGCGCAATTGTCAGTTAAAATAACGCAGCGCTGTATCACAAAAAATGGCGTGGTCAGGAAGGGGGGGGGGGGGATTCTCAGGAGGACGAGTGGTTAGAGCTGGTAAAGGTATATACAATTTTGAACATGCTCCGCACCTGTCCCTCCCCCTTATCCAAAAGCAGATGAATTCTTGTGGATAGAAGCTGATGTAGTAAATCACAGACAGTAACTGAACACATTTCAAGGTTTTTAAAGGGGCAATGATTTTTAGTTTGCAAAAACGAATCCGTATTCCTTGGACAGCCAATATGTGTTTCCTACAACAGGCAGCACAGACACCTATCCATTCCTGAACACAAAAAAAAAAAAAAAAAAACAATCAGCGGTGACCCTGGTGAGGTCACAAATTTGTGGTTCCTCCTCAAAAATGAGATTCTTTATGTGACACCATTAAGATCACTTTATAATCGGGTCCAGAAGTCTGTTCACTTTCTCTTGCTTGTTTACTGAACAACCAGAACGATGACGATATAATGAGCGAGATGCTTAAAATTTATCGAACGTTTAAATTCAATTTAATTGCACATTCACTCGAGCTTTATAAAACACGACATTTATTAGCAATTCCTGGCAAATGGAAGCACTCCTGGTAGAAATTCATTACGGCTTTACTTCATGAACTGATCACAAGTGACATTCCTATTATGTTCAGAATGATGAGGTGCAGTTTAAATGGAAGAGACGTTCGCTCATTCAATAATAGAGCTGAGCTGTATAGCAGGAAGAAGAGCCAGGGAAGGATGTATGTACAGTGAGGTCAGGAAACAAACAATAAAACACTGACAGGGGTTCTAGAATTCTCTACTCCACTTCACTACTGCACTTTAGCTGAATGACGGCTACAGCGCAGCTCCGTTGTTCCAGGAAGGTGTCCATGGACCACACACCCCGCGCGGCCCCCAGGGGAGCACATCCAGAGCGCTCTGCGATCGATGTATTGTTTGGACACAGCTGATCACAGATTACAGTAAAGGGCCAATCACAGTGGCCCTTTATCATGTAATCAGCCGTGTCCAATCACAGCTGTTCACAATGTAAACACACGTGCTGGTTATTGGCAGTGCTTTCTTCACGTGTTGTCACAGCGTGAGGAGAAGAGAGCCGGTAACCAGCAAGTGTGGCAGGAGGCATATACACAGATAATCAGAGACGCCTCACCAGCGCCCCCTCAGAGACGCCTCACCAGCGCCCCCTCAGAGACGCCTCACCAGCGCCCCCTCAGAGACACCTCACCAGCGCCCCCTCAGAGACGCCTCACCAGCGCCCCCTCAGAGACGCCTCACCAGCTCACATCTGTGCAGAAGAAAAATTACTTATCTGCAAAATTTAATAACAGAAAATACCCAGTGGTGATTAAATACCACGAAAAGAAAGCTCTATATGTGTGAACAAAAAATGATAAAAATTTCATATGGGTACAGTGTTGCATGACCACACAACTGTCAAAGTGCAACAGCACTGAAAGATGAAAATTGGCCTGGTCAGGAAGGGGGTGAAAGTACCCAGTACAGAAGAAGTGGTAAAAAAAAAAAAAAAAAAGCATTGGTGAATGGACACACAGGGCAGCAGCTCGGGAGCGAGCCTGCTCAGGTGCCCCTGTAGCAAGCTGCTTGTTATAGGAGCACTAGGCAGGAGGGAGGGGCCTGGAGCACTGGCAGGAGACCTGAGAAGAGAAGGACTGGGGTTGCTCTGTGCAAAACTACTACACAGAGCAGGTAAGTATAACATGTTCGTTATTTAAAACAAAAAAAAACGTTAATATCACTGTGAATGTACAGAGAGCGTGTGAAAGCTGCCATTTTTGATCTCCTGAAAATACTAGTTTCCTTGGCACTGGGCTGCTGAACAGTCATGTAGATCATTTATGTCACATGCATTCTTGTTCCGGGCCAGAGACCTAAACAACACAGAAAGAAGATCAACGCAACAGCCAGACAAACAGCATTTTCAGAAGGTGACATCAGTAATGTACGCCTCTATGTGTCTCTTAATTTAGGTTCTTCCAGCTCTCTCTGTACAGAATGACCAGAAAAAGCAACCCCTCCCCCCAACTACATTCCACCCAAAATAAATCCCCGGCTTTACATGGAGCTGGTGCAGACAAGAACGCCAAGCCAACAAAATTAAACTACAAGGACAGAAAGTTCTACAAAGAATGGGAAGGTGACAACGTTTACTCAGTGAACAGAGGACATAGCAGGCATGGCAAATTCCCCTACAAATACTCCCAGTATGTAACCCCTTCAGTGCCGGGTGACCCCGTAGCAGCCAGTGCAAGCAGCAGGGCTAAATGTAGCACCAATTGTCCCGACCACAGATGACTGGCAGAGTTCAGGGTTGTGCCGCATGAAAACAGGAATGTCTTCTCTGAACCGAGCGCCAATGTTTTAGGTATAAACTACACTCATCCTCCCCGGCTGCAGAACACAAATGCCCTGTCACCCAACCCCCCCCCCGGGTCCTGTCTGGCCGGTTATAAACACTTATTACCGGCTCGGGT